GCTCTGTCTTTACTCCATCCCATCAGATATTTGTACACGTTGATGAGACCTCCCTGAGCCCTCTCTTCTCTTGGCCTCTCCTCATATGAGGGGTGCTCCAGATCTTGAATCATCTTAATGTCCCTCTGCTAGACTTGCTCCATTAAGTCCATCCATGTCTTGTGTGCTGGGGAGCCCAGGACTGGAACCTGCACCCCAAGTATTTGTCCCCAGTGCTGAGCAGAGGGGAAGAATCACCCTCCCTGACCTTCAGGCAGCACTCCTCTGAAGGCAGCACTCCTCTGAAGGCAGCACTCCTCTGAAGGCAGCACCGGGATGTCACTGGCTGACTTTGCTGAGGGCACATTGCTGCCTCATGGACATTTCACTCACCAGGATCCCCAGGGCCTTCTCTGCAAAACTGCTTTCCAGATGCTTGGGCTCCCTGGTCAGTACAAAGGTCTTATTTTTCAAGAGTTTAGAGGCAGGACTATGACCCCATAGCCCCTTCCCCATGACAGTGTGTGATCACTCCACTGAGCACATGGTATTGTTTTTGCTTTTGTCAGGAACATTAGAGCTGTGAATAGCAATGTTCATGCTTATGTTTCTTCATTAACATCTGAGTACAATCAGTTGTATTTACCATTGTCCTCTAGTTTGTTTGTTCTTCTCAGCAACAGCTTTGACAGCTTCTGATTCTGTTTCTGGACTCAAGCCTTTTGTCTTTCTTTCCTCTATTCTAGCACTGTGAACCTTTGCAGAAAGAGGACTCTTTATCCTCTTTGTCTCTAGACCCAAGCTGTGCTTCTCTACAGAAGGAAGGTTGGAATACACCAGTAGGAATATTGAGTTATGTCAACTATTGCATTACGGTTGCAGTTTGTACCACAACCAAAATGAACATAGAGGCACGGCCTGAACGGAGAGTAATGAAAAGAACATTAGACCAACAATTGGCCTGTTTCTAGCTGACCTCTATTTCTTCTCATCAGATGAGGAGCAGCAGTAGAAGTGCAATACAGTGACTCCAGCAAACAGGATTATGGGCTCTTGTGGCCCAAATGATCTCTAACTCCATGAAGACTTTGCATAGACCAACCAAGGACCCCAGCTCAACAGGACTTTAGATTTTAATTCAGTCCATACTCCTTTTCTTTTTTATAAACCATGTGATTTGAAGGATGGAAGGGAGTCTTGCTGGCAGATGCAGCTGAGGACCATAGTGGTAGATTGAGGGAAGACATTGGCAAAGCAGAGCAAGCTCAACAGAGACTTGCAGATGAGGGTATGTTACAAATAGTTGGCTTTAATTTACTTTTGATATGTGACATAATCCCACTTATGTACAAACTGCAGGGAAACAAGCCTGCAGTTTCAAATGCAGAACAGAAATATGAACATTTATAAGACCAGGACTACCTGCTGAAGAAAGCCTGCTGAGAATTTACTGCATCACCTTGCAGTGTTTTACAGTCTGCTTAAGTAAGTAATTATCTATTAGCAGTAAGAAAATAACATGGTGATAATTGAGGCAAGGAAATATGTATATTCACCATTCTGGTTCCAAAGGTAATGCTGGGCCTGCACATAGAGTTAAGATAATTTATAATAAGGGCATATGCTGGTTCTGGCTGGATTTTCGCCCTGGTGCTACTTCCAGAGCAGCACAAATTATCCAGCAAACAGAAGCCTTATCACTCCTGTATAATCATTTTGCATAGATCAGGTAGTCATAAAAAAATATTGCCTGATCTGAGATAGGACGGGCCAGACTGACCTTTGGAGCCTCACTCTTTTACAGATGCAGGGTATAAATTCTAATGCTCAGTTTTACTGGGATCTCTTGGCAAGATGGGTACCACCAGGGCCTTGCTGGCATTATTCCTCTTAAATGCAGCACTCCTGGGTGCCACCTCACCTAATCCCCATTCTTCCAGAAAAGGTAGGAAAAAGGGTATGTCAATTCTCTACACTGGTTCTATGATGGAACTCACATGCCAGTTTAATCAACATTTTACAAAGATTTGAAGTAAGTCAGATTGAAATTAGATAACATCATGTTGTCTTATTAAAACTGTGAACTGATATCATGATTAAGTATTATTTGTGTTGAAGATAATTCGGTGTGATGAAATTATTACTGTTTTGCAGTAGTGTCTTGCAGCATAGTTTAAACCAAAATTTAAAAAGAATACTACCATGAAAATACTACTGAAAGACTTTGTTCCTATATATTTTCATTTTCAGTATGGGGTTAAGAGGGAATATAGTTTCTTTGGCTGTAATGCATATTTGCTTTAAAACACTCCAACCTTGCAAATGCACATGGAACTGCCCAATACTCATATAATTTAATAGAAATGCAATAGAAAGACACAGTTGCTATCCTGTACAGTGTCATGAGGTCCCAGATGTGTGCATTATGCTATGTTCCTGCTAGGAATTTCTTCTGTTCTGGACACCTGTCTGTTCACTGTTCTTTGCAGCTATACATAATAAAAACTCATCCATTATATCCCTGGGAATATTGGCAATATAGTGTGTCTTGCTAATTCTGTCCACTGCTTTCATAAAAACAGTTAAAAATGCTTGAATTAGAAAACCAGAAAACAGAGAGGGAAAAAAACCCCTAATCCAAGGAAATCAGAGCAAGAGACATTTATAGCAATAAAACCATAGAGCAGAGAAGCCAAAAGAGCAATGCCAAAAACAAGCCAGAGTTTGAAATTTTTGTAGGCAGCCTGACTCACATACACAATGAATTACTGAGTATTATTCAGATGATGGATGATTTGAATAAACCACGTTATATAAACATAACAGTATGACTCAAACCCATGGCTTTACACATCACTTCTTAAAGAAACTCACTTAATTTGGGAAGGGTTGGAGGGAGCACTGAGATTTTTTTGTTTGTTTTAAATCAATTTTGAAGAATGCATGAATCATTACTTATTAAAGTTACTCTGTCTTTCCAAAATAATTTCCAAAATACAAGAATATGTATTTTAATAATGCAGCCCAATATAGATTACCTGACCCAACCTAGAAGTGAAGGAGTGATTTATATAGTGATTATTTTTCTTTTACATTAACCTCTGATACGTCTCACTGCATAAAGTCACTTTTTGAATGTGTGGGAATTATCAAGTACTCTGTGTGTGCTACTCAAAATAAAAAAGGCTTGAGAAATACACAGCACTTCTAAAATGCTGCCTCAGATCATGGACCATGACTAAGCATGTCCCTGATTTATTTTTACATGAAAATCTTGAATACATTTTGCTTATTAGATATAAAATGCAAGTTTTCTTTGTACTTGTTTTACTTTTTTTTTACTACACATTTAAGTTTACAGAACAAAAACACAATTGCAGATAAACACGTGTTCAACAACTAAAAGTACTGTGGGTATTTCAAATTAGAAGGACAGATTTAAGGAAGTTCCACAACTATTCTGTATTAGTCACACCCAGTCATAGAAACTTTGAGTGTTTTTCTTTATTAGGTTGACAATAAGAGTGCAATGTTTGGTTTATTGAATTCCTAGCACTTTCTGTCCATGCCTAGCAAATACACACTAAGAATTGCCACTGAAAATTAATATATTACTCAAAAATCCAAGCTATTTTCTTTAGTCTGACCAAGCATTAATTCAAACATGCATATATGAAAAATAGGTTTGCTAAATGGCAGATTTGCCCTCAGTTGTCTCTGTTGACAGACTTTTATTAACTGAAAAGATAATTTTGTGAGTCTTTCTGGAATATGACGCTACTAGTTACCTCTGAATTCCCAGAGACCTTGCTCTAGAGCTTTGTCCTGCATCCCAAAAGATGCAGCTCTCTGGGGAAAACATACCTCATCTGAATTTGTTTATTACATGTATTGCAAATTAAGTCACTGAAAGCAGCAATGTACAACAAGAACCCAAGAATAATACACTCACAGAATCATAGAGTTACAGAATTATTTGGATGGGAAGGGAACTTTAAAAATCATCTAATTCAGCTGCCCAAAAATAAGCAGAGACAGCTTCCACCAGAGGATGCCCAGAGATATGTTCAACCCGACCTTGAAAGTTTCCAGTGAAGGAAATATCGCAGGGTACAAAAAAAATTAGGACTTATCTGACTGAAAAGAAAATGTTTTGGAGATTTGTTCAAAAATTCTGGGTTTCTTTACTCCCACAACAGACAAACATCCTGCTGAGATGTTGCTCACAATCTCCCATGTGACAGCGTGGCACCAACATCCCCAGCACTGGGGGAAAACCTGGCCATGCTCCTTCATCCACCAGGGCCTCACTTGCTTCTGTCTCTTCCTCCCTTACAGATGCCCTAACCATGACCACCACTCTCCCTCCAACAACCACTCCAGGTTTGTGTGTTTTCTTCTATTTCTCTGAGGCATTTCTTCAGAAGTAAATTAGCTACTATTTTGAAGGTGTGAGGCGCAACATTTGCATTTTGTAATATTTAGAGAAAAAATCCTTATTGATATTGTTTATATCCAACAAATGAGACTTTGCTGTTTGAGTGATTCTGTAGCTGGGGATGGATTTCAGAATATGTTGATTATGTGGGAGATTTTCCTTTGTTTCTTCTCTGATTTTATGGTGTTTGGCCCAACACCTTTTGCTCAGACCCCCAAGGTCCCCATTGCCCATGTGACATGGGGGCATCAACATCCCCAGCACTGGCAGAAAACCTGGCCACGCTCCTTCATCCACCAGGGCCTCACTTGCTTCTTTCTCTTCCTCTCCTGCAGATACCACAACAGGCTTCTTATGTGACACTCATGGAGGTGGGTTCAAATTTGTGCTTCCTTGTCTGGCCACTGCTTTTCCCCCCCACTCCGGGGGCCAGGGCACAGGAGCTCCTTTGTCCACCTGGGCCTCACTTGCCTCTTTCTCTTCTTCTCCATCAGAGACCTCAACCACAACATCAACCCCAGCCACAACCCCAGAAATCTCCATGTTCAGTATTCCTTCAGGTGAGTCTGAATTTGTCCTTGTTTCTCTGGCCACTTCTTTTTCGGAACCAGAAAGTGCTGCAGAGGTTTGGCTTTGGTCTTCTATGTGGGAGAGCAGAGCCTGGGAAAAGCACAACCTAATGAAGCCGATGGTGGGAGTGATGGAACTCACAGAGCATTGCC